GTTCACCTTGAAGTTAAAGACAATTACAAGAAGTCCAAGAGAGCCAAAATATAATCTTGAATATATCCCTCCTGAATTTAGAGATCATCTAAAGAATAGATGTGATGCATTGAACACCAACGACTGAAAACCAGAAGAACTGTGGGAGGATATCAAGAACATTATCCATGAAGAAAGCAAGAGATCACTAAAAGGAGGCGAAAAGAAGAGAAGACCAAAATGGATGACAGAAAAGACTGTGAAACTTACCCTTGAGTGGAGAGTAGCTAAAGCATATGGAAGAAATGACAAGATAAAAGAGCTGAACAGAAGATTTCAAAGAGCAGCTCGAACAGACAAAGCCAGTTACTATAATGAAATGTGCAGTGACCTGGAGTCTGAAAACCAAAAGGGAAGAACACACTTGGCATTTCTCAAGCTGAAAGAATTGAAGAAAAAATTTAAGCCTCGAGTTGCAATATTGAGAGATTCTATGGGCAAAATGGTAGCATAGTGGCTAAGGCACTTGACTGCTAACCAGGAGGCTGGTGGTTCAAACCCACCAGCCACTCCTCGGAAGGAAGATGGGGCAATCTACTTCCGTAGTGATACTGCCTTGGAAACCCAAGGAGGGGTCGCTATGAGTCGGGTCCGACTCAACGGCACACAACAACAACAACAACAACATGGGCAAAATATTGAATGATGCAGGAAACATCAAGAGAAGACAGCAGGAATACACAGAATCACTGTACCAAAAAGAACTGGTTGATCATCCATTTCAGGAAGTGGCATATGATCTAGAATCAATGGTACTGAAGGAGGAAGTCAAAGCTGCAATGGAAGAATAGGTGAAGAACAAGGCTCTGGGAATTGAAGGAATACCCATTGAGATATTTCGACAAATGGATGCCCCATTGGAGGCACTCACTGGGTTTTGCCAAGAGATTTGGAAGACAGCTACCTGCCCATATGACTGGAAGGGATCCATATTTGTACCCTTTCCAAAGAAAGGTAATCCCACAGAATGTGGGACTTGTCTTACAATATCATTAATATTGCATGCATTAAGATCTTACTAAATATAATTCAAAAACGTTTGCAGCAATATATTGACAGGGAACTTCCAGAGGTGCAAGATGGATTTAGAAGAGGATGTAGAACAAAGGATATTATAGCTGTTGTCAGATGGATCTTGGCTCAAGGCAAAGACTACCAGAAAGATGTCTACTTGTGTTTTATTGACTATGCAAAGGCATTTGATTGTGTGGATCATGACAAATTATGGACAACATTGAGAAGAATGGGAATTCCTGAGCACTTGATTGTACTCATGAGGGACCTGTACCTTGAACAGGAGGCTGTCGTTCCATAGGAACAAAGGGACACAACATGGTTTAAAATAAAGAAGAGAGTGCATCAGGGTTGCATCCTTTCCCCACACTTAATCAATCTATATGTTGAGCAAATAATCCGAGAATCTGGACAATATGAAGAAAAACATGGCATCAAGATTAAAGGAAGAATCATTAACAACCTGAGATACGCAGACGATACAACTTTGCTTGCTGAAAGTGAGGATGAGTAGAGGCACTTACTGATGAAGGTTGAAGAACACAGTCTGCAGTATGGTTTATGCTTCAATATAAAGAAAATAAAAATCCTCACAACTGGACCAATGAGCAGCATCACAATAAATGGAGAGAAGATTGAGGTTGTCAAAGAATTCACGTTGCTTGGTTCTACAATCC